GGTCCACCTGATGCAGTCTTTCAACCCCGATCCGTTCTTGACGGTCCCCGAAAGCCGACAGAGGCCACAAGCCTTCTCGAATCCAGAACCTCGGACCTCCCCCCCCCTTCTGCTCGCAGGAGCAGGCGCTGGGCCATCTTTGACTCCTAGCCGGCTCCAAATTGTTTGCCCACGTCCTAGAGGCCTCCTAGATGGGGTCGGAGTAGATGGGGTCGGATCGCGCCGCATCGCCGATACATCGGCGACGCATCGGCGATGCACCGGCGATGCACCGGCGATGCATCGAGCCGCATCGGCGATGCATCGGCGATGAGGCGCGATTCTCTGGCCCCATCTACCCCTCCTCCTCCTCCTCCGCCTCCGCCTCCTCCTCCTCCTCCTCCTCCTCCTCCTCCTCCTCCTCCTCCTCCTCCTCCGCCCTCCTCCTCCTCCTCCTCCTCCTCCTCCTCCTCCTCCTCCTCCCCCTCGAGCCCTGGACGCCCGGAGCTGAGAGCGGGGCCCAGGTCTGGGGGGTTCTCGATGATCTGCGGCTCCACGAAGCCCGGGTACCTCAGGCCTCGGTCGCGGGGAGAGCGGCGGCGAGCGGCGCCGCGCCAGCGGGGGGAGAGGAAGGGAGCAGGGGGGGGGGGGGGGGAGGCGTGGGAGGAGGGCTGGCGCGAGGCGGAAGAGAGGAAGGGAGGGGGGAGGGAGGTGGAGGGCGAGGAGGGCGGGGGCGAGGAGGGGGAGGAGGAGGGAGGAGGGGGAGGAGGAGGAGGAGGAGGAGGGAGGAAGAGGAGGAGGGGAGAGGAGGAGGAGGAGGAGAGGAGGAGGAGGAGAGGAGGAGGAGGAGGAGGAGGAGGAGGAGGAGAGAGAGGAGGAGGAGGAGGAGGAGGAGGAGGAGGAGGAGGAGGAGGGAGGGCGGAGGAGGAGGAGGAGGGGAGGAGGAGGAGGAGGAGGAGGAGGAGGAGGAGGAGGAGGAGGAGGAGGAGGGCGAGGAGAAAGAGGAAGGAGGAGGAAGGGGAGTGGAAGTGGGAGGAGCTAAGACGAGGTCGAGGAACCAGACGAGGAGCACGGGGAGAGGAAGTGGGAGGGATGAAAAGCTACAGAGAGAGGGTTCCGACGAGAAGTCGGAAAACAGGGGATCCAACACCCTACAGTCGAAACGCTATCATAAGAAATCCTAAATAAGAAACGAGGGCCCCTGTTTCCATAAGTTGAACTTCGATGTCCCACAGAAAACCAAGAGAACATCTAAGACAAACTGTAAAACAATTAAGCAGTACTGAGCCCCTCCCCTGCGAAACGGATTCCTTCTTCAGCGGTCCGACTGCATGGGTGGTCACCAAGGATCGCAGCAGCCAAGACCAGCGGAACCCACGTCGGCTGGCAACCGGCAAACACAGTGGCCAGGGGCAGCGGGACCCAGGATCCCCTTGGTGGCAGCCATGTATCGCAGCAGCCGGGGCCAGCGGAATCCCAGGGCCCTTCTTTCGGCGGTGGAGAAGCCTCCCTTTAGCAAACCTCCCTTTAGCGAAAAGGGCCTGGAACCGAAACCGACGTACCTGGACCCGCAAAAGTGACGGCCGCGACGCCCTCTCGCGAACCGAAAACGGCCAATTCGCTAATCGACGTGTCAGGGTAGGAGGTCTATCATATGGAAACGAGCTCTATACACCGACGCGTTTTCCGACCCTGCGCTGAAATTCGCACAGGAACGCGGATCCTGCTGTATACGGGATCCTGTCGTATATATTTGTCGTTGCTTCCCTGGGACATCGGGGAAAAAGTATACACCACACCACCCCAGCGTCGTCCCCGACCCTCAAAAAGTCCTGGGATTGAAGAACAGCCCGCCACTGGTGATGTATACGTCCCAGTTTCCGATATCAACCTCCGAGTCTTGGGCAGCGACCAAAAGATCGCAACAGTCAGGGCCAGCGGGGCCCCGGACATGGTGGGCGGCGGCGCTGCGGGCTGCGAGCGGAGATCCTAGGGGCCCCCCAGCTGACGGGGCCCAGGGACACACAAGGAAATACACACAAATCCCAGGATTCCCCATATTTTCCCATGTTTTCGGGGTTTGGGTCTTCCCTCCCACTTCCCCTATTTTCCTATATTTTCTGGGGATCATCGATGACTTGTGTCTGTGTGCTTTTTCCCCTCCTGACAAACGGAGTGGTGACCACACCGTGTGGTGAGTCGGTGGGGATCCAGGGTCACCGCACGGTTTTGGGACTCGAGTCCTTCTCCGAAGATGCCTCGGGCGACAGGGGCCTCCAGGGTCCCAAGACCGTGCGGTGACGGACCGTGCGGTGAGGTCTCGTGGGGTTCCGAAGACACCACACGGTCTGTCACCACACCGTTTCGGGATCCTCAAAGATCGCATCCATCAGGCCGGCCGGACCCGGGCGGACGGGAATCGCACCAGCGAGAAGCAACTGCACGACCAGCGAGCACATCCACGTCGAGGCCCCGGCGGCCTGGGCTCCAGGGCGCGATCCCGTGGATAATTACGCGGTCCCACAGGTTCGTTCCGCGCGGGGGTTCCGCAAAACAAATTGCCCTTCTCCAAGGAGTCGCGGCCCAGGGGCCTGGCCCGCGAGGCCGTTGATACGGACATGTTTTCTGCCCCCGATCGATCTTTCCTAGACAAGGAAGAACCCCTGAGCTGAGAGCAAGCGCTGAGCCGGGGACAATGACACGAGTGGGTTTGGGAGGCGGCTGGGGGGTTCTGAACTGGATGGGGCCCCAGAGAATCTATCAATATGGCGGACGGAGCCACATCCGCTCAGAATCAATCCGTGGGCCCCTCCTGTGGTCCATCTGGTGCCATTTTTCACCCCGGATCCGTTTTTGACGGTCCCAGGCCCCGAACGGCCCCCAGAGGCCGAAAAGGAGCCAAAAACATTCCCGAACTCTCCCCCACTTCCTGCTCGCCGGAAGCAGTGCTGGGCCACCTCAGACCCCAGCGAGCTCCAAAGTGGGTTCCATTCCTCGGCGCGATCACCCAGAAATGCCTGCCACGACCTGGTGGTAGGTGGTGACACCCGAACCCTACCCCAACCAAGCATCGATTCTCTTGCATCGATGGTAGGCCGGGGCTGGATTCGGATTTCGCCAAGTTTTCGACGACTTCCGAACGCGACCCCCCCCCCGCCCATCGAGTTGCCTGAATCGTTGATCGGCGAGGGTAGGGTTCGGAATTCGCCGCCGATCAGGGTGCAGATCCATGTCTCAGGGAGGGAGGAGGAGGGGGAGGGGGAGGGCGAGGAGGGGGAAGAGGGCAAGCTAGGTGCGCTCGCGTCATATCTGACATCCTACCCCTCCCTCCCATCCCTTACCATGGCGTAGATCCCCTCTCTACTCGCACAGTCGGATGTCGAGCAGGGCAATGATCCCGAAAGGGTACGCGATGCATTGTAGAGCACGGCATGGCATGGCGTAGAAGAGCACCGCAAAGCGTGGTATGTCACAGCATGGCGTGGGGTGGCGTAGTGAAGAATTGCATCACAAAGCTTTGCAACGCAAAGCATGGCATCGCACAGCGGCCCCGAACATAACATTGCATTGCATGGCGTTGAAGATCCAAGCGTAGCATGGCATAGCACGACGTGGCACTTAAGCACTGCATATCACAGCTTCAGCTGAAGGCATGGCATCGCGCAGCGGAACGCAACCTAGCATTGCATTGCATGCCGTGGCATGGCACGGGAAATGACGCCAGCGCTGCAGCGGGAGCACGATTCGGAACGAGCGGAAGCGCGGAAATGCGCCAGCGCTGCAGCGGGAGCACGATTCGGAACGAGCGGAAGCACGGAAATGAGGCCAGCGCTGCAGCGGGAGCACGATTCGGAACGAGCGGGGTCCGAAAATGAGGCTTGCGCCTCAGCGAGAGCAGCATTTTGAAAAAAAATGCAGGCGAAAACCCAACTCCGGGGAATCCTGTGTAAAAACACAGTACGCGAGAGGGGGGGCGAACACTCCCAACCCGTCATCAGGGGAAGGAGGAGAGTAGTATTCATATTGAGTAATTGTGGAGGGAAGGAGAAGGGAGGGAAGGAGGAGGAGGAGGAGGACGGAAGGAAGGAAGGAAGCAAGGAAGGAGAAAGGGAGGATGAGGAGGAGGAGGAGGAGGCGGAAGAAGAAGGAGAGAGAAAGAAGAAGGAGGAGCTGGAAGGAAGAAGGAGGAAAGGAGAGGGAAAGGGGGAGGAGGGGGGAGGAGAGGGGAGGGAAGGAAGGAGGAAGGAGGAGAGGGGAGGAGGGGGAATGGGAGGGGGCAGATCTGTGTGAGGCAACACTGCCCCGACACGGCCTACCCTCGCGCAGCACCATCAGGCCCGTCGCGGCCTGCCGTACCCAGGGGAGCAGCGGTCAGCCGGTACAGAAGGAGCTCGACCACAAGAAACCTTCCACAAGAAACCAACCCCTGAGACCCCAGGACGTCCACTAATTTTCGGTGTGGGCACGTCACGTTTTCCAAGAAACCCAGGGCACCCTGGAGTCAAGCATGGTGTTTCTTGGCATGGGCCCCCACTGTACCGTAACCAGGGGACAGCACGGTATTCACGAGACCGGGGCATCCGACGTCCCGAGAGACTCGAGGAGGAGGCTCTCCTAACTCTTCGGCATCTGGGGGCACTCGCTGGGCCACGGGACCGTCAGAAAACGGCTCGGGATGGAGAGCCAGCCCCGCGGAAAGGGTCCAGTCCTCTAGAACCCCGTGCTGAGAAGCTCAAGACGTGAGATGTCTGGGATACGGAATGTCCAGCCCGCCAGCGCAATCCCACCAGCCCTCTGCGCGGGGGTGGTTAAAAAGCTCTGACTACTCCAACTCCCTACAGTCAACCAGTGCAATAAGGAGGCACAGTAAGGATGCAAGGGCCTTGGAAGGCCGCGTCGACACTTTGTGAGCGGGACGCGGCCAGCGCAAGCGGCCGAGGATGGGCCGGGGGGGAAGGATGCAGGGGTAACCTTGGAGAGTCGCTCATCCTCAATATGCAGACTGGCTGTACTTCCCCTTTGAGAGCGGGTCTGCCCCTGTCCCTACCCCCTCACCCCGGCATGCCCCCCCGTGGTAGAGGACCGGATGCGGCTGGCGGTCGCCCATGGAGCTGGGCGGAGCCTTGGATTTCAGAGTTGGGAGAGCCCCTCTTTTGGACATATTTTCGGGTGCTCTTGGAGCCCTTGAATGGCGCTGCTAGGGAATAGTTGCGGCTCTTGGGGCCTGAGGGGCCCTCCAAGGGCCGGCTTACGACCACCGCGGCGACCAAGTAGACATAATTCCTCCTCCTCCTCCTCCTCCTCCTCCTCCTCCTCCTCCTCCTCATCCTCATCCTCCTCATCCTCATCCTCATCCTCATCCTCATCCTCCTCCTCATCCTCATCATCATGATCATCATCATCATCATCATCATCATCATCATCATCATCATCATCATCAATCATATCATCATAATCATCATCATCATAATCCTAATCATCAGCATCAGCATCATCATCATCATCATCATCATCATCAACATCATCATCATCATCATCATCAACATCCGCCTCCTCCTCCTCCTCCTCTCCTTCTCCCTCATCCTCCTCTCCTTCTCCCTCCTCCTCCTCCTCCTCCTCCTCCTCCCCCTTCTCTTCTTCCTCCTCCTCCTCATCATCCTCATCACCATCATCCTCTCATCATAATCATCATCCTCATCATTATCATCATCATCATCATCCTCCTCCTCCTCCTCCTCCTCATCATCATCATCATCATCATAATCCTCATCATCATCATGAGCATCAGCATCATCATCATCATCATCATCATCAGCATCAGCATCGTCATCATCGTCATCGTCAGCAGCATCATGTTCATCATCATGATCATCATCGCCATCATCACCATCATCACCATCATCATCATCATCATCATCAGCATCATCATCATCATCGTCATCATCGTCATTATCGTCGTCGTCGTTTTCCTGGTCGTCGTCATCTTCATCGTCATCGTCATCTTAGGCCACATCCTCGCCATCGTATTCATCCTCATCCGCGTCTTCGTCAGCAGTATCATAATACTCGCCACCATCAGCATCATAGCCGTTCTCGTCATCGCCAGTATCATCAGCCTCAGCATCGTCGTCATCGCCGTCACCATCGTCACCAACATCATCGTAATCACCACCATCACCATCAACATCGTCATCATCGCCATCAGCAACAGCATCCTCCTCCCCTCCTCGTCATAGCAGAATCAGTATCATCATCATCAACAACATCAGCATCAACATTATCATCGCCACTACCGTCATCATGATCAGCAGCAGCAATATCATCACCAACACCACCACCATCGTCATCGTCAGCATCGTCATCGGCGTGATCATCATCATCATCATCATCATCATCATCATCATCAGCATCATCATCATCATCAACATCATCATCATCCGCCTCGTCCTCGCCCCTTCTGCCCCATCCATTGATGGGCTCATCAGAGGGAACACGCCAGGGGCAAAGGCACACTGGGCGCAGAGACCGTGCGTCTGGCACCACGAATTGTGCTCGTCGTACACAGCCTTGAGAAGGTCCTCGGGTAACAAATCTTCCTCTTCCTCATCCTCCTCATGCTCCTGTTTCTCCTCCTCCTCCTCCTCCTCCTCCTCCTCCTCCTGAACTCCCACTCCGCAGGCCACGGAAAACGGGGCCGGGGGCAATCCCCTTGCGAAACCTGGATGGCCCCATACTTTGTCGGGGTTCCCCGTCCCCCAGATCATCAGGCAACGCCCGGCCCCGAGCCTACCCACAGTCGACGCCGGGGGATAAAGGGGAGGGCGGGGAGGAAAGACGGGGGGGGAAAGCGGAAAAAACGACGAAGATCGAGTATAAATTACGCTACACCTCTCCATACCTCTGGCCTGACCCGCCTGGCCATCATCACCGAACCAAATGCCCTCATCGGCTCCAAATTCCCTCCCTGTCCCTCCCCTGCCATTTCGCATCCCCCCCGAAACGTCTCTGGAGGAGCCCCACAGGACAAAGAAGAACGCAAAACTCCGGGAGGCGAAAGGGCAGGACAGCAAAGGGCAGGGCTGAAAATCCGCTCGCGTAACTGGTTATCCTGCGCATCCTGGCGCCGGGAGGCGCCCACGCAGCGAGCAATGGGCGCGGCGGCGGGGCCGAAACCAGATGCGCACAGCAGATTTCTTGACCCCCCCCCTTCCCTATCCCCCCCCCCTTGGCTCGGCCCGAAGACCGACCTCACAAAGCATCGGGGAACGTCAGCAGACCACCCCACCGATCCTGGGCCTGGGCCCAGGAGGGTCCCTCCCAGTCCCTCCCCTGCCAGTCCGCCTCCCAACCCCAAGGGTCTCTACTATAGGGATGCACCAACTATACACCAACACCGATTCCGGCCAGGATCAACCTGGGCGCTCCTGGGGCGCTGTTGGGAGCCTTCGGGGCCCTCTTCGGGCCATCTTGGAGGAGATCTATCAAAGAAGGGGGGGTCGTATATTAGCGCTGCCCCTCTAGAGTGCCTCGAATCGCCTCTTGGGCCCTTCTTGAGGCCAAAGTCTTTCCAAAACCTGAGGAAAGTCAATATTGTGCGCTTTTTCTCTTTTCGCTCTTGGAGCCGTCTTGGGCCATCTTGGGAGCCTCTTGGGGCCTCTTGCGGGTCTCTTGGGAGCTTCTTGAAGGCCTCTTGGGAGCCTCTTGGGGCCTCTTGGGCCCCTCTTGGGGCGCTCTTGGGGCGCTCTTGGAAGCCTTCGGGGCGCTCTTGGGGCCATCTTGGAGGAGATCTATCAAAGAAGGGGGGGTCGTATCTTAGCGCTGCCCCTCTAGAGTGCCTCGAATCGCCTCTTGGGCCCTGCTTGAAGGCAAAATCTGTCCAAAACCTAAGGAAAGTCAATGTTTTGTGCTTTTTCGCTTTTTCGCTCTTGGAGCCGTCTTGGGCCATCTTGGGAGCTTCTTGGGGCCTCTTGGGGGTCTCTTGGGAGCTTCTTGAAGGCCTCTTGGGGGCCTCTTGGGGCCCTCTTGGGGCGCTCTTGGGAGCCTTCGGGGCGCTCTTGGGGCCACGTTGGAGGAGATCTATCAAAGAAGGGGGGTCGTATATGAGCCTTGCCCCTCTAGAGTGCCTCGAATCGCCTCTTGGGCCCCCCCAAGAGGCCAAAACCTTTTCAGAACATAGGGAAAATCAATGATTTGTGCTTTTTCGCTAGTGGAGCCGTCTTGGGCCATCTTGGACGTCCCAACGACCCGCGGAACCCCTTGTCCAGGTCGGTGGGGAGGGGTAAGGGGAGGGGTAAACCTCTCCCTGAAGGGAAAGAAGGGGGTTGGCAGAGGAAACGCTCTAGACCACCTACGCCCTAAAGGGCTGGTGGGACTTCTCAGAAGCCGCGAGGGCTGCTGAGGAGTCCCGCCGCCTTCTGCGAAGGCCTTCTCCCTCTCAGTTCCCCCCCTTCGCCCGCCGCCGAACAGGGCAAAAGCATGAAACACATCGAGAAACGCATCGAGAGGATGATCGCCCACACGATGAGACACATCGAGAGGATGCTCGCTGACTCGTAGGGCCATCCGCTGGCCGGGGGCAGGCGACCCACCGCTCCGTCCTGGCATCGCTCGGACGTGTGCATTTTTTTCTCGGCGAGAACCGTCGAGGAACATTCTTGATCCCTTGGCGAAAAAACCACGCACGAAACCGAAAAAAAACATGGAATGGACGTCCGAGCGATGGCGAGTCCGTGGCCGCGGGGGACGCGCGCACGCCACCCGTGCCGCCTCGCGCCCGCCGGGGGAGGGCAGGCAGGCAGGACGGCCGCCTCTGGGCCGCGGCCGCACAACAGGGTGCGAGGCCACCGCCGCTGCGGCCCGCCGTCGCAGGGCTTGGCCTGGAGGAGGTCGAGGTGGAGGGGGGGAGGACGGCGTTGTGATGGGGGTCCGCGGAGGAAGAGGTACCCATACCTCCACCCTTCGCCCGTTTTCCCCCTTTCGGGCCTCCCCGGAGGCCCCCTCGCTGTTATTTTGCTGGATTCGCCTCGAGGTTCTGGTCAGGACGCACCCCGGGAGAGGCCCGGGGAGTAGCGGCATCGGAACCTTTGGGCTTCCCCAGGGGGGGGGGGGCTAAGCTGGCGAGGAGGAGTTGCTGTAAGCGGGCGCGGGCTCGCACAATTTACGCGAAAAGGCGAAAAGTCGTAACGTACGACTTTTCGGCTTTTCGGGTTTTCCCGTTTACGCGAAAAGTGCGTTCGGGTTGCACATGTCGGCGCCAGGGCTCAGTGCTCTTCCCTCCGAGGCGGGATTTGTACATGACCGCCGCCTGGAGGATCCATTTTCGGGGACCCCGGCAGGCGGTGGACATGGACATGTTCAGGCTCCCAGGGGCCAAAACGTGTCCATCTCCACAGCCCGCTGGGGCACCAGGACGTTGCGCCCTAGGCGGTGGATCTGGATGAACCCCCGCCTCGCATTCTTGCCGCCGATTCAGCGCCGCCGGGCCGCTCCACGCTGCCACGTTTGGCAGCGCCCTGCCGCCTCGGCGGCGACGGGCCGCCTCGCCGCCGGGCCGCGTCGCGGCAGACCTTGTGTGGTCGACGGGTGAGCCGTGGCCTCTCTCGTGTCTGCCGCGGCGCGGCGGCGTCCGGGGCCTCGGGCACGGCGGCGGAGGACAGTGGCGGAAGCTGGGCGAGGGCCGGCATTAAGTCGGGCATGTTCTCTACGGGAGACATCTGCAAAAATCGTGGAACAGATGGTCTGGGGACGATATGTTTGATTATTGTTGGTCCTGTTGGTGTGTTTTTAGAATTCTTCCGCTCAAAATCCGCCTGTAGGGGGATATGCCCGACAAAAGGCTGGCAAAGACGTGGCTGCCAAAAGGGTCTCCCCGGAAGATCAAAACAAGTGCCCAGAATACAATTCAGCGCGCTAAAGTGAACGGGCTGCCTCCCGGAAGAAGAAGAAGAAGAAGAAGAAGAAGAAGTAGAAGCAGTTTCCTGGAGCTCCGTTTTAGCAACCACGGGTTTGCCAGCCTTCGCCT